TATTATCATGTTAAATTTTATTTAAATATTTTAAATAATTAAAAAAGTAAATTAGAGACATATTTATAGTAATTATGTAGGCAAATTTGCCTGCAAATCTCTACCAATTAAGGGATAATTTATTGTATGGTGCAATATATTGCACTTTTATAATAATTAGAGTTAGAGTAAGTGTTAGTGTTCGAGTTAGAGTTAGAGTTAGGTAAAATCATGAGAAGATTATTTTTGTTAGTTATACAACAGGGTTATCTAGTAAAATTTTAATAAAAAATAAAACTCTTTTTTTATTCTTTTTTTTTATTTTATTTTTTATTCTTTTTTATATTCTTTTTTTATATTCTTTTTTTTTTATTTTTTTTATTTTTTTTTTTGTTATTTTTTTTATTTTTTTTATTTTTTATTCTTTTTTTTATTCTTTTTTTATTCTTTTTTTATTCTTTTTTTTATTCTTTTTTTTTATTCGTTTTTTTTATTCATTTTTTTATTCTTTTTTTTTTATTTTTATTTTTTTATTCTTTTTTTTATTCTTTTTTTTTATTCTTTTTTTATTCTTTTTTTTTATTTATTTTTTTTATTTTTTATTTTTTTAATATCATATAAGAAAATAAGCTAATTAAATAATAATATTATATACTATTAATAATATAAATATAGAATTAACTAATATTATTTCTTATGTTCAACTAACTATAACTCTCCCTGACGATCACTTGTACCAAAATTTCAGCTAACAAAAAAACACAACCTTTATTGGAGAGACATGGCCTTATGTTGCAGTTTGTCTAGAGATCAACTATCTGTAGGTGATTTCTCTAAAAGGATGTTTGGTATGCAAGCCAAGAGCATTATTATACAAGATAACTGGCAGGGGTGCCCTTGTATAAAAAATCTTGGTGAAAAGAGAAAGTCTCAAAGTAGGCTTCTACTTTGTCGATGAAGCACTAGAGCTATTACTTCAGAGAAGAACACAGGGGAAACAACAAAAGTTTTCAACTTCTAATACTCTCTTTAGAAATTTTGAAGTACTTGATACAAATATCTTCTACCTTATTTTCGCAGTTTTGGATTTTTTTGGAAATTTTGGCCAAACAGTGGGAAAACTGGTGTACTCCCTCCAAAAGATCAGCAGTGTTTACTCCTTCCAAATTAGGACATGTCTACCAAAATGGAACCTCCCACGAACTTATTTGGATTCTGCTTTTCTAAATAAACAATGATGGCATTACTGTTTACAGTATAGGGGATCAGAGGAATCACGTGTAGAAATTTCTTATTGTTAGACGTTTTTTTCTTTTCTTTTTCACTTCTTTTAATACATATAGTGTTAGGTTAGATTTTTTTTCTATGCAACATTATATAATTTCTGTAGCTTGGCACAAGCAAAAATAGTGTTGTCATGGTTGTCTTCTTTGCGGCCTTTTTTTCCTTTTCTTTATTTTTTCTTTTGTGTACATTTTTGTTTCGTTTAGTTTAGATTTCCTCTCTTTTTTGTATTTTTTTTTATTTTCTTAAATTCCCCATTGTTCTTGCTATAGAATTCTTCTATTAAGGAGGCTAGGAGAAGAAGGTTGGGAAAGAAGGCGATTATGATGGGCTGGTAAACCAGGTCAGTGAACCAGGGTGGGTCAGCTTGATGTAGGTTGAACCAAACCGGGAAGATTAAAATCATCTTTGGCAGGTCGCACACAGGTGTATGAGTACTTAGGTACTCTATATAGGTAACTGAGTAAGTCACATTCTAGTAATAAGATGTAATATAAAAATCCTTTAGATTGCTATATATGATCAATAAAAGCAGGGCATGTGGTATGATTATAAAAAAAAAAAAAAAAAAATATTATTTCTTATAACTACACTATTGTGTGATATAATACCTCTATATTTTTCTATTATAACTAGGAATAAATTATTTTGCCCACTAATACAAGGTAAAAGCTAGAACAAATTATTACTAGTTTAGATAATAGAGGAAGAGGACCTTTATTATAAAACCTAATATAGAAATCATTTTTTTATTCTATATATTATTAATAATAAATCTTTAACTAGCCTCGTCATCTAAATATTTATCAAGTCCAAATTTATACTGTACATATTTTATTTCTATTACAAAATATTTTTAATACTCATCAGAAGTGAAATTTATCAAATACCGGTATAGAGTTTAAAAGTTTAGTAGAAAATATTTATACATAGCAGTCAAAAAAATTCTAACCTCTAATTTGGATTCTACCTCTAATGTAAAATTTATTTTTAACTTTAAAATTTTATAATAACATCCAAAAACTCATACTGATGAAATTTAACTCTCATAGTTTTTAAATTAATTTTATATTATAATAATATTATATATTATTATTTTATAATTCTTAAATTTTATATTAAATCAATCAAAGTTATTCTTCAATTTGTAAAAATAACTTAGGTTAATAATAGATTAAATTTATGATTGACACAGAACATCGTCAATAATATTATTGATATGAAGCCTCCAATCAATTTTACTGGAATTGAATTCCAATAAAAATTTCGAATACTAAATAATTGAATTTTTTTAATAGTACATTCTTTTTTATTTTAACCAATCAGAATAAGTAATTTATACTAAGTTACGCTTCCAATACACCTTCAAATTAACGAATTAATGATTGGAGTTGGAATTATTTGAATACTTTATCACAAATTATAAAATTAATAAGTTTTTATATAAAAGCAAAATTCGTGTATTGCACATATAGTACAGATAAAAATGATTGTAAAACCTTTTATATATAATTACAATAAAACCATTTAAAGGGATAATTAATAAGAATACTTATTATAAAACTAAATAATACAATAATATATAAAATCTATGTACTTTAAAAAAAAATTTTTAAAATATATTATTATGCTAAGTGATAAGACAACAGAACATTTTTTTTCTTCCCGTTCCTGAAGACCTTCTTTCGTATGCTGTCATTTCTCCATCATTTAATTGCCTTATCATTTTAATTACACTATAAAATACATGATTCACATTTATACTAGTCCTTGAAGAAGTTTCAATGAAGTCACATTTTAGTCGTTTTGCCATAAGCATGCCTTCTTCTTTTGAGATTTCTCTTTCGTTAAGCTTATCACATTTGTTTCCAACAAGAATCATAGGTATAGTTTCATCATCATCTTTTACTCTTAAAACTTGATCATAAAATCTATGTACTCTTTCAAACGTGGGTCTTGATGTAATTGAATATAAAAGAACGACACCCTCACTATTTCTATAATCGTAATTAGAAAAATTAGAAAGATAAATATGAATTCTATTTATTAAAAAAGATTAATATCTAAGCAGTTAAAATATACCTAATCCATTGATCTCGTAAAGTATTGTATTCATCTGCGTAGATAATGATTGTTAATTTATGCATCGATATAAATATTTGACATTACACCTCCATGCATGGATCAAAGTATCTATTGCCATGATATGTATTTTTAAAAGAAACAATATAGGAATTTATAAACATTTAACTCTGTTAAATTTTAATAAATTCATATTGAGATCAAGGATTTAATTAGTATATAGATTAAACGAGGATCGCCAAATATTTGCAAAGGTAGATACTTTGTCCGTACACTATTGTTAACCATAATATAGACAGTACCTTGCCCAGCTGTATCTAATACTTCAATAATACATGGGTAACCATCAACGACGGCCTGTTTACGATACGTAGATTCTATTGTTGGATCGTAAGTCTGTTTTAAGTGATAATAATAAATTTTCAATTATGCAGTGATCATATTTTGTATCTAAATATATTTTTGATTGAAGTACCTCTGTTTAATCAATTTTAATAAACGACAGTTAAGAAATTTTATTAATGGATTAATTCATTATTAAAAATAGATTATTTTGAAATTATTAAAATTACCAGGAAAACTGTTTAAACAAAACTAAGTATGACCAACAATAGTTTAAGAAGTATTGAAATTAGATTTAATAATGATTTCAAAAAAATTGAATATGTATTTGGTATACATACTTGCATAGTAATTGCAGTCTAAAATAAATAAATGAATAAATTATTATTATTATAATATTTTAATGACATCCAAATTAACTAATTTAAGTACCTTTCCGGTGTTGCTGTCGCCGAGGACGACAATTTTATATTTTTGCATAGTTAAACTATTCTTTGGGTATGAAGATGCTAACTATATATATATATATATAACAGATGAGTAGCGGTAGTACGTATGCTATGCCTATCAATGAAATCTTGAAATTATCACGTTTTACAAGTAACAGATATCCAATATTGTACTTGAAATTAATCAATATTTATAAATTTAATTTGTAATCAACAAAATAATAAAGAATACAGTTACTTTACATCAATCTAAATAACCTAATTTAATGAAATTCTTGATTCTAGAAAGTGTATAGAATACTTTCTAACTCTTTGTTAAACTTTTTCTACTAACAAGAAAAAACTTGAATGAATTTGCTATTAATGGTCTTTTTCATAATATATATATGCTTTTTATGTTTTTCCTTGTAAAATCTTTTGACCAATAGGAAGGAAGTTATTTGAAACTGTTGCTAGTGCGTACGTACGTACCCAAATATTTGGCATAGTTTCAAAAATAAGGATAAAGTAGTGTGGCTTTGTAATATCGAAACTCCTTGGTAAAATTGCTTGTATTCCCATACTAATACGTCAATTACAAAAATGCTGTTTGTTCAGTTGATCATTACAATTAGTATTACCGAAGGATGGTGTTAAATTCATTTATGATAATGATTAATAAATGATGATGTGATGCTGTGCTACGACTTGGTTGGTTAATTATCACGTGGGCAACCTGACAGGCAAACAAACAAATCGAAACTAGCACGTAATTAAAATTGTGATACGTATCAATATTTATGATAGACCTGCATTATCGTGTTATTGTTAGACATCCGTTGAAAATTTTTAATAGCAATAAAAAAATTTCTAAGCAAAAATACTGTATTTAGAGCAATCAGTAAATATAATCATATATTTGTTATTTTAATATTTTAGAAATTCGGAACCTGGACCTGCTTGGATATGGACATGGGATGTCCAAAAAAAAACTTTGGACGCCAAAAGACAGAAATGTAGCATACATATGTACAGTACATACGTATGTACATTCGTATGTACAGTACGTTGTATGTATTAGCGTTCACAAAATCTGTAATAATTAGGAGTTGTTCGAACTCTAATTATTAATTGATTTTTATTATAATAAATATACGAACAGGTTGAACCATTAAATATAATTATAAAATTAAATTTTTTGAAATTTATTAACTGTTAAGGATTGGGAAATGCAAAAATTTTTGTTAACCGTTTTACTGCGTCGCTTAATTATAAATTACATTATTAATCATAATTACTCGTTTAATCGTCAACCGTTCAACTGTAATCGTATAACCATTTTATTTAATCGTTTAATTTACACCAATACGTTGTATAACTATTGGGCCATTAACCGTTCGTAGTGATACTAGACAATAATATTCTACAATGTTGTACATCGAAATCAAATTTTTGTGGATTTCGAATCAACTTGTGCATGAAATTCTAAACTGGTTCGGTTGGTTAGAGAATTCAAATTCCACTTAATTAGTTGATTTAAAATCAATAAACAAAGTAAACGAAATCGAAATTCTTATCGCCAAATCGCTCCACACCATAAAATTTTAATTTTAAAAGCGCCAAGTTACGAGAATATTCAATTTTAATTCGCAAATACAAAGCTTATTAAATTTCTCGATGGCAAATATGTTAATTGACGTTGTAAAACCTTTATTTATTACACGAGAAAAATTATGATTTCTATCTAAATTTGCCGGCATATCTTTTCGGTAGGATATGACATCATCAGGAAGTTCGAAAGGTGTTAAATAACTAACGAAAAAGTGTTAACCTATATTGGGTTTGTTAAACTACACTTTTTTATTAATAAAATTAGTGTTATTTAATACTAATTTTATTAATAAAAAGTGTAGTTTGACAAACCCAATATAGGTTAACACTTTTACGTTAGTTAGTTAACACCTTTCGAACTTCCTGATGATACTTTGTAGTTTACATCGAGATGGTTTAAAACTTGTTAGTTCTTCGAAACTATGGAATGCATCATAAATTAAAGACAAATTTAATATATATACATTGATTTATTTGTAAATTTTTGAATAATACTGTACGGCCACTTTTCACAATCATTCGTTAAAAAATTGAATAAGATGAAATTTTTTTTCAACCCAGTTGCGGCAAGCTAATTCGTCATTAATAAATTTCTTACAATTTCTGTTGATTTTAATTTCAATGACTAGACTTCCAGATGGAAGCTTTTATTAAATCTGCCACATGAGTTAAAACTTTTCTTTAGAGTCTAATTCAAATTGGGAAATATTCCTTCAAAAGATATAAATGTGCGAGAGGCTTTACAAGCATAGTTAGTATCATAGATAGGTAATATAAATCGCTGAAAATATAAAAAGGCTGTTATCTCAATAATATATGACTAGAACATATGCATAAATAACTTTGCGATATTTACTGTTAAATTGAATTTAAATTCTTTTGGTATATTTAGAATCAGGTTACGTTGACCGACGTACAACAATAATCGATGCTGAATACGTATTTCAAGGAACATATATCAGAAGCCTTTTGTACTCACTCTTGGCATATTTCCTTTTATCACTGACCAATTAACGTTAACATGTACTAGTACAGTAAACAAACGGTTAAATTAATTTTTTTATAAACATAATCAAAATCGGCTTATAATTGCTGCGGAACCGATTCACATCTCCAGCTATCGTTATAGTTTAGCACGATTATATAACGATAATTAGTAAGCTGACCAGTTTGGCATTTTTTCGTGAAACTATCCAATAAGACCAATTAGACATTTTAGCTACATAAATAATCGTAGCGGTAGATTGAACCACTCATCATAATGGTAACTAACGAGCAGGGTTGGCAATGGAGCTCAATGGAGCTCCGAATGGAGTCAATGGATACTAGTTTTTTGAGCTCCATTCACGTAACCATTTAGCTCCATTGGCTCCATTGCCAGCCCTGCTGACGAATGACGCAATTCAATTTCCAAATTATAAATTGACGAACGGCAAAACAATGAACCCGATGACGATTGAATTAATAAAAAAATTATAACAGTTATGTTGCTTAGTTTGTTTCAGGTTGAAATTTTTAAATATAGGGCGTTCTCAAGCGCCTCAATTAATGAATCAAAGTATGTCAAAAATGTGTCGGGGATTAACGGAAAGTAATTTTAATCGATCAATCGAGTTTGTCATTAAGATGTGTAAGGTAGTTTATTACGTGAAAAATCTTTTTTTTAAAAAATTTTTAAATAGTAAAAAATGAGAAGTGAGTTTACCATCTCAACCAAAAAACTTTTTGTCCCTAACCACTTTTTTTTTGCCCTGACTTATCAAAACTTTATAAATATTAAAATTAATAAAGTATTGTTCAAGTGTTTTCATATTTTTATTATGGATTTTTATCGACATATATTTTTGTAAAATTTTCGATAACTATTTAAAATCCTCTCAACTTGTGATTGAGATCTTTATTTTGACCTATCGTTGCAATTGAGCATCACTACAATTATTAAAAAAATCATAGTAATAGCAATGTTTGAGCATATCTCAATAATATAGTTATTCGTATTATTGACTTTTGTCCAAAATGGTATGACAATAGCTAATAATACTTGTGCACTATTTAGATCACTATGAAATCCCACCTCGATTGATGCTTGAGAACACCCATAGTAATTCTTAATTTAATGAAATTTAATTTTTATGATTTGAAAAACTTATTTTACCAGTTTCTATATTAATTAAGAAAGGAATTTCGCCGCCATCTATAGCAATATGAATATCATTGTTTTCTTTCACAATGTAAACAAATCAGTTCATATAACGCTAATTTTTCTGGTTGCATTATTTTTTACGTATCTACTTATTTTCCCAATTTTTTCTATTATCTCAAATTCGTACAAAGTGACTTTTAAATCCGTACAAGATGGCTTTTAAATTCGTACAAAATGACCTCAAATTCGTGCAAAAGGACATTGTAATTTAGATTTATTGCTTGGGTCTGACGTAACAACCCGTGCAAATTTGACAAGCTTATTTTCATTGATCTATATGAAAATCATGTGATTTGCATATAGACCGGTGAAATTCAGAAATTTAGTTTTTTAATATTAAATCAAAAATTCAAGACTAGGAAACTTAAATCGGGTGAAATTTTTAAAAATTCTTAAAAATCAGGGCCGTGAAACTTAAAATTGCATGCCAATATCATAAAGCTTTTATTTAATTGCTCATAATCAATAGTAATTTTTTTTTAAATACATAATAAAAAAAAAATTCATTGGCATTTTACATCTCGAATTTAAGATTTAATGTAATTGTTAATGGCTTGTCAGTTGGCGGGATATGCAATATAATATTATTCGAAATTGGGCTAAGAGTTTGCCGGGTTGATTGAACTTGAAGTTTAGGATAGTTTTGTGTTTGCAATTGAACTTGAACATTAGAATGGTTTTGTGTTTGCGATTGAATTTGAAGGTTACTTTGGTCTTGATGTGGGTTAACATTTTGATTAGTTGGTTGATTTTTGTATAATGGTTTTTGGCTTTTTTTATTCGATGGATTTTTTAGAAGAGGCAACTTGAATGGTGCATAAAGTTTTGATTTTTGCTGAGAATCAGTTGGTGCTTTAGCGATATTTATCTTTTTTTGTGGTATGTCATTTCTTCCTTGATCGTTTATTAATTCAAATACATATAATTAGATAATAACTAATAGTTTATATTTTTTTTTAAAAAAAAAATTTACCTTCACATTCAATTTCATTTACGTGCTTATCATTGTCCACGCAATCACCATCATCTTCATTATCATCTTCACTTTCAGACTGGTGAGTATATAAGTTGTCCGGGTAAGAGTAAAATTCTTCAAGATCATTATCATTTGGAATCAATATTGCTGTTGAGCTTAATCGTTGATCATCGGTAGGTTTGCTGTATGATCTAATTCCTTCATGAGACCTATGTCCTGAGAAGCTCATTATTTCATCTTCAGGTACATCCGCAGCTTTTAA